AGGGGGGCGGGCATCGAAAACAACAAATACATATTATGTATATTGTGACGTGCGAGGGTCTAGGCAGCAGCCTGTGCTCGCCCTGCAGTCTAATTATTTATTTCGGAGGCTCCGGTTAGCCTAACTGGTTGTCTTACCTCAAAAGGGGGTTGAGCCTTCCACCAAATGTGCCTCGAGCGTCGGCGATTGTGTGCTGAAAAGTCGGAAAGGTTCGCGAAATGACCACCAGAGGGAGTTAGTTTAAAACCAAATCAATTGTTTATTGTCTAACGTTAAGTTACTATTTATTCTATTAATTAAGAAAGATCGTCGAATTATTACTCAAATGCAGATAAATTACAGAGAAAAGTCTAATAATTACTTCAATGGCGTCACAATACCGTACGGGTGTTCGTGCAGTAAGGTCCAAGGGGAAACCGTCGAGTCACAATACGACCTCGGTTCGAATCCCGATATCGTGCCGCGCACCTGCACTCGCGCATCTTCGACTCACTGTACGCGAAGCCTTATGTCACGTGAGTTCGCTCGCGAAAGTCCCAGGGGAATCACCGAGTCACAACACGTGCCCGGTTCGAATCCCGTTTTCGTGACGCGACCTTAATACCACGCAGATTCGACTTAACGTTGCTTGGCCTGCGACGGCTTCGCTGCTTTCGCGCGACGTAATTGCGACTTGTTCGCCTCGGACTACTCACACACACACAATGACGATTACTCGACTCGACTTACTTCCTACGCGATCGACTCTTCGCTCGTTTAACGACATACGACACACAGCACGCTTACGCACACACAATGACGATTACTCGACTCGACTTATTTCCTACGCGATCGACTCTTCGCTCGTTCAACGACATACGACACACAGCACGCTTACGCACACACGACCGACCAAGGTTAGGAATTTTACAAGGCTAAACGCTTACAATCTCTTCGGCTCGGTCCGACGACGCCATGCCGTTGTCTGCTCGCGGTATGCTGCAACCTTGTCCGAGTCCTGGAATGGTGGATCTGCCGCTTCATACTCGTCAATTCGTGATGCTAACTGGCCCGTGGGTCGGCACCGTGTCTCAATCGCCAAGTAACCTGTCGCAATTCGCACGGGGGATTGGCGCCGCGTTTCACGTGCTGGCGTAACCTCACTCACAACTTGGCCCTCGGGTTGGCGCCGTGTTTCGACGGTGAACTGTCCGTCTCGTCGTAGACTCGCACTAATTATTGTTTGTTTTGTCACTTCGGTGCTCGCACGATGTAGGTTGCGTACTCCACAGGCACACGCACAGCACTCCGGGTACGCGAGTCGCGATGCTCGTCGTTGTCACGCACTCGGCCGACTTAACCTCGCTCGTACGCGCACAATTCGACTCTCTTTTTCTCGCGTACTCGCCTCGGACGCAGCTTCTCTGCTGTAATGTTCACGTTGCTCTTTTCTTTCAACCGCACTCGTTCACTACGCGACGATCACTCGTTCAATCTCCGGGTACTCTTTCCTTCAACCAAAAACTCGCTTTTCAGCCTCGGACGTGGTGATCTCACTCGCACGATACGCAGTCGTAGTGATAATAGCGTCGCTTCACGTGCCTTCTTCTTCCTCGCTTCGTCTTCCGTGCTGCTGCCGCTGCTGCTGCCCGAGTTGCGGCTCCTCACCGCGCCGCTCGTTCGGTCGGTAACCGTCGAGCACGTGCCTACGCTGCCGCGGCGTATGGAGGTTATAAGCGCTCGGCTCTTCCTTCACCCTGCACGGTCAGTCGGTCGGTCGCAACTCACACGTCACACGCATACGCGCAGCATTCACACCAAACGAGCGGTGCTCGTCGCCAGTGACATCGTCACAATATTTATATGTTTATTTACTATTTAATTGATTTTTTAATATTAATTATAATTATGATTCGTTATTAGATTGGTTGGAATTAATAAATGTACAATTAACAAACGTACAATTGACAAAAGTACAATCATTAAAAGTATTAGGAGTATTTGTCGTAGAATTTACTATTGAATTTACTCCCAATGATTGTATTAAATTTGAATCATCATATACCGGCTATAGCCTAATCAAATCAGCTTTTTCTTCGAATTTCTGACAAATTTCATTTTCATCGTCAGAGTCTTCGGTCGCTGAAAATGCATTTTCAATAACATGTTTGCTCATTTCGCTACTTATTATAAACAAGATTGATTATCCGAACTAAAACCTCTCATAACAATATACGGTTGCTAGGTGACAAAGCTGCGCGCAGTGAAAAAAAGCGAAATAATAGTGGCTAAAAAAACAACTTTTGCCAGTGAAATCGATGGCGAAACCGCGTACTTTCGACCAGGGGAAAAGAAAAATTTTTTTAGGAAAAAGCACGAAGTATCAAAAGACGCATGAATGAAAATAGTACTTAATGCAACGAGTGTGGATATGCTTTTTTGGCAAAACGAGGGGTTGGAGCACTAACCGAAGACGAGTGCTGTAACGAATTTCGCTGAAAAAGCTTATTCACAAAAGTTGCACACAATATTTTTTTCATGCTACCCCAGCTGAAACTAACTTTCTCGTCCCGGCGGCCAAAACGAAAATTAGTATATTTTCTTACAAGGGGATAAAATTGAATTTCCTCACGTGCGCGAAGTTAGGCCCGAGGCGAAGCCGAGGGCCTCACTTCACGCCCATCCGGGCATTCTATTTTATTCCCGTGTAAGAAATAATATTTTTCTCTATCCTAGCGCGAAAGTATTGAGACAAAATAGTAATAAGAGTCATTAAAAAATAATTTACACAAAAAAAACTGCCCGCCCAACATTTGCGGCACGAGCGTAGCGAGTGCTGCTGGTTGGGGCGGGCATGATCTGGAAAAATCAGATTTATAAGTTAAGAGAGAGAGAAAGAGAGAGAAGAAGAAGAGAAAAAAAGAGAGAAACCTGTGGTAGATACAAACAATTTACTGTTTGTCACAATTTTTACACAAATAATAATTATTAACAATATTTCCATTTATGGTACAATTTTCGTATTTAACAATTGAATTCTTAAAACATTGCTGTAAATCTTCATTGATTTCTTGATTTGAAATAAGAACTTGATTTCTTTCATTACTGATTTCAGTCTCGTTAGTTTCAGGGCCGGTAGGGATAACCGAACTTTTAAATTTTTTTCGTGGAGATTCAATTGTACCGGTTTTAAATGAGACTTTAACCGGTGGCTTTGAATGGAAATGCACATTAGAATTAGATTTTTTCGCTGCAGTTATCGACAATTTTTCATTGTAGTAAATTGGTTTGTTTCTGGCGGTCAAAAATGTCGGCTGAGCTTTTTCTTGGTATACCATATCAGTAGAAAAGTCGCTCCAATGTAAATCCATCAAGTCAGCATCGTTTTCTTTATTCGGGCTTGAAATATTTTGCACGGAAGAAGCTTTACTGGTTGATGGTTGATAAATTAATGGTGTCGAGGAATCAGTACTGGTCGATGGTTTAGAATATTGTGCTTGACTGGTCACGCCATTGAAAATCTTTTGCCTATTGTGCATTGAATTTTCGACATAACCTTGGGCGACTTTTTCTGACATCCAACCGCCTAGCTGCCTCACTTGAGCAGAATTAGCACCTGATTCGGCAAGAAGAGACGCTCCAGTTCGTCGATAACAGTGACCAGTATATAATTTTGGATTTTTCAGTCCTAAATGCTCGGCGATCTTCGAAGGTGCTCCATAAATTGTGTTTATGCCTATAACTTGATGCGTACAGTGTCCTTTTTCGTAGCGAACAAAAAATTTGTCACTAAATGGTTTGACTGGCCTCAATGAAATATACTTTTTCACAATATCGTAAAATAACGGTCCAATGATCAGTTGGCGAGAAGCAGAAATTGTAACGCTGCTATAATCATTTTTTGAAGTTTGAATCGATACCAAGTATTTGGTTTTCAAATCTTCAACGTCGTTCACTTTCAAATTGTAAATTTCATCACACCTCAGCGCACCAGAAATTCCAAATATTAAAATTACCTGGAAAATAGGGACATAATAAGAAAATTTATTTAAAATATAGTCAAATTGTCAATAAATACTAATTACTTACTTTCAGAGCTAAATTATCAAGATCATCTGCTTCTTTTATAAATTTTGAAATTTCATCCCACTCTAGCACCAATAATTTTTTCGGCTTATAACCTTTTGAATTGGTTTTTAACATGGCTTTTAAATTTAAAAATCTGCTTATATCAACCTCGTCTCTGGCGTTGAGAGTTTTTTTAAGCATAGACCATATACTCCATAGTGTAGGAGGTTTACACTTTTCTTTCAAAATATATAATCAAATTGTTTTCATGTGAGCTGGAAAGATTCTTTTCATTGTCTGACAGCCAAGCAAGATAAGATTCATACACCTGCAAGTATCGGTCTGAGGACTTTTTGGGTAACGTATCACTATTAATTATTTCATGAGCTTCTTTGTCAAAATCTCGTAGCACACATTCTTCATCTGTAGATTCGTCGGATGATTCAATTGGATCGCTCATAGTGACAAGAAATTAATGATTTTTACAATTAAAAACTAGTTCATAGGTTACGTTACCGATATGTGAGACACTTTCGCACGCGGTTGTTTGAGTGGTTAAAAGTTATGTTTCTTCTAGCCTAATCGATTGGCGAAACAAAGCACTTTCGCCGAACGGATAGAGAAAAGTTAATTTCTGCTGGGGGATTCATGAAAAATAGTATACGCACCTATGAAGCAAAAAAGAAATCCTCAGAGCACATGTTTGTCGGCCTCGGCTTCGCCTCGGACGATAATTACACCTGCTCTGAGGCTTTCCAGTTTTCCGCTCCCTTATAGGCACGTAATATACTAATATAGCACAAGAACTTAAGACTAACAGCCATGTTGCCATTTTTAGGTTAGAGTGCTGTAAAAAATAACTTAATATTGTTGTCTCATAAGCATTTTGTTTTTAGAAATTAAAACGCACATTATAATTTATGCAAGTTTCATACGTATCATATTTGACTTACCGTCACGTAGAAGATGTTTTTTATTTGAATTTTTTAACTGTCTTTTAATAAAAGGTCTCCATAAACTTTTATCAGGTAGAACATGATAGACATTAATATTGCTCCATGAGTAAGTCATAGAAATCTTTTTGGACTCATAATTGTGAAAATCGGAACTTTTTTTTTTACTCGTTTTTGATGATGAATCAAATTGACTATTGTCTTCTGCACCATTATCTATCTAAATTCATTTGTGTAAAACCATATATTTTAATATTCAAAATATCATAACATAAATATAAGGTATTTATCAAGCTCTCATTTACTAAAATTAATTTTTAATGGTCACCAAAATTTATTAAAAGTCTATACATGTTTTTGTGCCATAAATGTAACTTGTACAAACCATTGACTCTGAAGTTTTGAGTTCTCTTTCAAAAGTTCATTCAATTATGAAAAAATGCAACAAGTATTCTTACGTTTACTTTTTAATTTATTATAACATTGAGATGTATTTTTAATAATGAAAAATCCATTTGTCGAGAATAACAAACATTATAGAATTAAAAATTTTTTTATTCGACATTGGTTCCAAAAATGTTGTTTGTATGTAAATATTTAATTAAAGCCAGGAAATGGATTTTTAAAACTCCATTATCATTTATCAAATTTTCAAGTACTATAACAAATAGAATTCTAACAATAACTTTCTTACCTTGAGAATGGTTTCATATGAATTTTTTTTCAAATGATATTCATTAAGTAAAGAATCAGTTTCTTTTGATTTGGACATTTTTAATACGTTATTATAATCAAAGCAAATAAAAATATTTTTGTTTTCAATACAACAAACCTCCTTGGAAAAACCTAGTTAAACAAGCGGAGGATAATAATTTTATTATTCATGAAGTATAAAGTGGTGTAAGTATACTATTGCAAAAAAGGCACTAAAATTATAAGTCAACATTTTTATTTCATCATATTACAGAATGAGCGACCCTGTTTTGAATTAATCTCAACAGCTTTAATGATTATATTTTTAGATTTATATAATTTGAAATTAAAATTACACTTTTTTAATTGAATTTTTCTGCATTAACTTTTTGATGCAATTTTTTTTCACTTAAGTTTAGGAATAAATTCAAGGAATCATCAATCAAATAATTAACTTGTGAACTACTGTTATCTGATATTTTTTATCTTATTAAATCAAATTATTTTTTCAAATCATATGTATAAAAAAATTAAATTAATTGTATGACAATGGCAAGCCATTTTTGTTATAATGTCACATAATTTATATTTCATCAATTTTTTCATATACTTTATATTATTAATAGTTATAAAATACAGATAAAATATAAATTATATAGATTCCTTTACTATTTATGACACTTATTCAACAAAAATAATAATTGAAAACTAAAAGTTTGGTAGAAGGGTCTATTATGGGACGGTTTTACCCCACCAAATAAAAATTTCACATCACAAGAGAACGATTTTAATGTAATATTTTTTTTTAATGCACCTCTGAGTTGCGTATACACTTAAACGAATTAAATTTTTTTTGTTATTAATTATATATGGTAATTATCAATAAATTAACAATATAAACACATGAGCTCGTACAACTATTAATGAAAATCTACCAAACATCATTGTGGACTTTGTGTGTATTGCTAAAAAAAACTAATGTACCTATTAAGATATTTTAAAATCACACTATTTTAAAATGCATTAAAATATAAGTGAAAGTGATATCTGATAAAATGGAAAACTTCTCCTATTTTTGAACCCTTTTTTCAACTAGTAATCGTTCTGACCTCAGTTGAAAAAAATTTCGCGGATGTCTACGTGGATTATCCAGGCTGATTCCACGTGAATCATACAGGGATTCCTCGAGGATCGGACATTGATTTCACATGGATCGAACATGGATCATATACAGAGTCCACGTACGTAAACCTCGTGGATTTACGTGGAAATACTCGTTGATTCTCGATCAACCCACGCGGGTTTCCGCAGTAATCCTCGTGGATATTCGATTATCCACGAGGTTTTTTGTTGTGAAATCCTCATGCATTTTGAGAGAAAAAAAATCGTCAAGTGATTTTTTATTTTTAATTAAGGGGACCAACCTGTGTTAAAAGCTGAAATTCAGCTTCAGCTAAAAATAGCCATATAAATCGAAATAGTGGAAATTTTTTTTTTGTGATAGTAAAATATGTTCATTCTGCATCAGATTGACCAAAAACAACTTCTACCCAAGCTCTGAAATACCAATTACATCACTTTTTTCATAAGACGAAATATTGGGTTATAAATCACTTGCCGCATGATCTTGAAAAGAGTTTTTCATCAATATTGATCTATGGGGTCTCAAAATCTTCAGAAAAGTACTCTCGTCCACCTAAGCGGAGCAGAATTTTGAAAAATTGCGTACAACTTTATATACACGTTAAAATGTGCCAATTTTTGAGAAAATTAGTATTTTATCGACACTAGAAGCCATATTAAAGCTCTTGGAAGAAAAACAAACTTTTTTTTTCAAATTCTGCTCCGCTTAAGTGGATGAGGGTACTTTTCTGAAGATTTTGAGACCCCATAGATCAATATTGATGAAAAGCTCACGTCAGAATCGCGTGGCAAATGAATCCTATTATAATATTTAGTATTATGAAAAAATAAGCGTAATTGGCATTTCAGAGCTTGGATAGAATTTTTTTTTGGTCAATCAGGTGTCTAATAAACATATTTTACGATTACAAAAAAAAAATTTCCACTATTTCGATTTATATAGCTATTTTTTGAATCTAAGCTTTTAACACAGGTCGGTCCCCTTAAGAGTTGTCAGTAACTTTTGAAATTATTTAGTTAATAATTTAGATTATTTTTAAGATTTATATAAAATTTATTTACTTGTATACTTTAGAGAAGTAAGAAAGTTCCCCTTGACTTGGGCTTGAACTGGTGATCTGTCGTTTACAAGTCCAGCTCCCTACCACTTGAAATATTCATTGATTATGCAAGAGCTATCAAAGCAGTTATATTAAGGGGAACTTTTCCATTGCAAATTGTAAAAAAAATCACTTTTTAAATATTTTTTTTTGGAAACTATAATTTTTATTCATTCTGGACCTTTTGGGTATTGTTCCTTACATATTAAACTACAAAAAATTTTTTTATGGGACTTAAGGCCCATTTTGATGGCTGTCGACCGAATTTGCTGAAATCCGTGTTTCGGCTCTTGCCAGCGATTGAGAAAAAACTACTAGTCCGCTCTTTACGTTTAATATCTCGTTTTAATCGTTACAACTTTCTCTAGAAGATAGAAGAGTTCTAGAAGAGTTCTGACTTGGAGCCAAAAATAGGCTACCCGGATGATATTCTCACACGAAAAATTCAACTACCTGAAGACGATGTGGCATGATTTTCACCTTATAATTTACCTGACTTTTTACCTGATTTTTTCCAGCGGGGTTATTCAATTATCCTCACGGATCAGTTGAAAATCCGTGACGATTCACTGACGAGACCTCGCGGATCCTTCAAGCGTTCTCGGGAACAAGTCCAAAATATACGAGTATTGAAAAAAAAATCAATGTGGATCAGATGAAAATCAGCGGTGATTCACCGACGAAACCTCGCGCATGTTTTGAGCGCGTGCTCGCGAACAAGTCCAAAATCCACGAGGATTGAAAAAAAAATCAATGTGGATCAGTGAAAAATCCGCGGCGATTGCATTTTGTTCAGACCATGATCGATCCACTTGTAATCCGTATACGATCTACATGGATTTTCACGTGGAATCCCTTGCTTATTTAATTAAATGCCCCCAATGCTTATTTAATTAAAAAAGACTTCAATAACATTGACAGGTGTGTCTCAACTCTTGCTTGTTGCCGTCTGAATACAGGATCAGCTGTTCAGCAGTACTTCTCAAGGTGCGTTACGCATGCATATAGAGCGTTCAAGTGAAAGGAAAGCTTACCGCTCCAGCCTCCTTAACTGTGAAAAAGGGAGTCGCCAAAAAATGAAATTTTTTTCTATTGTAGGTGGACGAGACACTAATGTATGACGAATGATAAATTAATATTTTTGAAAATACGCGACTTCAAGATAAAAAGTCAGAGGACTCTTTTTTCTCGAAATTCAAAGCTCTGTTAGCTCATTCGACTTGTATAAGTGATAAAATTTTAATATAAGATTTGAATGGAATATATATTAAGTCAATACTGCGGGGTACATACGGTTTGAATTAAAGAATTTGACATGTATCTATTTAGATGAGCAAAAAAGAAAGAAGAGTGAAGTGTGGATCGATGAAGGAATGGTGATAAAAACAAAGCATTTAGTAGAACATTTATTTATAAAAATGTGTAAGTCTACCATAAAATAAACAAAACAGGAGAATAAAGTACCATGCAACACTTATAAGAATTTTCTTGATAAACAATATTTTGAACATATAATTTGAGAACGCATAGACAAAAAAGGCACTGTATCGCTCAGAATGCTCCGCCTTGTTCATAAATTGTAGAATTCCATGAACCGAGGCAGAAATTCGCCAACCTCAAGCTGCATTCTGCGTGATACAGAGATTATTTTTTTTTTAGGTTAAAAGTACGTTTCTAATAACTATTAACTGCTTTAGATACTTGTTATTCCTACGGTTTTTGAATGTGCGGCTTTTTGCGCTGTTGCTTTGGCTTTAGTTTTTTCTGCTGTGACTGTAGATTCTGCTGATGCTGCTGCTGCAGCTGCCACAGTTGATATGATGGATCTGGGGTGGTCGATGTCGAAGAAATAGCAGCGAGTATAACCGCAGGAATAACTGGGGGCTGTTGCAACAAAGGTCCTTGCAGTTGCTGTTGTAAATTACAACCCTGATTGACGGGTATTTAAGAATAAATTTGGCCACTTGGACTTATAAGTATTAGCGCTGCCAGCACCAGACGAATTTGATTCGTCGACTTTTTTCAAATCGTTCTTGTACGTCGTATCAATCGACTTCCAAGACGCTTTCACCTCTGGGCCTAGAGAGAAGTCGAAAATAATATGTAGAAACATGAAAATATGAAAAAAACATACTCGTAAACACACCAATGGGATGACATACAAAGACGCGCATACCCACATATCAACACTTACACACGCTTGCGGACGCGCGTGCATACATCGACATAGAAGTATGCATGTATAAGATAGAGTAAAGAGAGAAAAGTGAGAGAATTGAATATTTATTTGAGAATGGACCGTGGTGTAGAACCCCGTATGGCCCAGTATGCAGGTTTTTACGAAGTTTATAGCAATTGTTTTACAATTTGTATACGATTTTGTGCTTAATGTAACAAGTATTTACAATATTTAGTGAACATTTTTACAGTATAGTGATACGTGGGAAGGGGTCAAATAAATAATAACACAGGAATTACGTGGTAGATTGGGAGGAGAGCACGAGAGAGACATAAAGCATTGATAGTTACAGTCATACGAATGGAGTGGGACTGACTCGAGTGCGGTGCGGCAGGTGCTTTCGCACCTTGCCGCTGCAAATAGTTACGTGAACAGCCGCTGTACTTTCGGTGCAGTGCGGCATGCCCACGTAACACGGCTAAGGTTGAAACGCGCTGTCCCACCAGCGCACTAAATGATAACAAAAATGTACTGATATTAATTAATAGCTCTCTCATACTCTTTTCCCGATTTATTAATATAATAATCATTACTATTATTGTTATGTATTTTCTTTTTCCAAACTTTAACAAAATATTTGTTTTAACTCTAATACCAATACAATTTCAATATTACATAATATTCCCAAATATCATATATTTAAATATTACAAATTTTCATAAAAAACATATTTTTTCCTTCTTACAATCAAACATATAAAATTACAAAATAATATAATTTATAATACAGTGGAATCTCGATAAGTCAAATCGCAATAAGTCGAAAATCGCGATAACTCGAAAAAAAAATTCCCCGAGCGAAAATCGCGCTAACTCGAAAAAAAATACACATATTAGATAGGCTTTTTCTAAATCGCGATAAGTCGAATTTTTCGGTCCGACTATCGGAAACTTACAATTAGAAAATTCAAACTCAATAAGTCAATAACGTTGTATATTATTATGTACCCTTATTGTATGTTTATAAATACGCAAAACAGCGCTAAACATTAGTATATTACTGCCTGTCAACATGAGCGGACCACGAAAATTAAAGTGTCTGAGTATAGGGGAAAAGTTTAATTTGATTAAGGAACTTGAAAAAGGGCAATTATCTAAAAAAGAAGTAGCAAAGAAATTTGATATAAAACCAAGTACATTATCCGGCATTCTGAAAAATAAAGAGGATGTATTAAAAGCTTTTGAGACCGAGAGCCCCAATCGTAAACGCAAGAGAGGTGCGGAATACGATGATATTGAAGAGGCTTTGATCGTATGGTTCGAGCAAGCTCGACAGAATAACATCCCGATTTCTGGACCCATCATCCAAGAAAAGGCATTGTCATACGCAAAACTTTTCAACAATCATCAGTTTCAGGCTAGTGATGGTTGGCTTCATAATTTCAAAAAAAGACATGGAATTTCCTTCCGAAAGCTTTGCGATGAAAGTGCTGATGTAAGCAATGATATTTGTGATGAATGGAAATCAAAGTTATCAACAATAACATCGGCGTACAAGCCCGACGAGATTTATAACGCAGATGAAACGGGTTTGTTTTTATACGTTATTCAAAAATAAACTTCTAAGACTGACATAAGATTAAATTATAATTTTTTTCATAGCTCTCTTCTTCAAATGTCTACCCGATAAAACACTGGCATTTAAAGAAGAAACTTGTCACGGTGGAAAAAATAACAAGCAGAGAATTACATTATTATTAGCAGTGAATTCGACTGGTACTGATAAATTAACACCTTTCGTTATCGGCCGATCTGCTAAGCCTAGATGTTTAAAAGGAATAAAAAATTTGCCAGTAGAATATCATGCAAATCAAAAGGCGTGGATGAATTCAATGCTATTCTCTCAGTGGTTGATAAACTTAAATAAAAAAATGAAGCTCGCCAAGCGCAATATCCTCTTGTTCATCGATAACTGCAGTGCCCATAAAATTATTCCTGAACTGAGTAATATAAAAATTCAATTTTTGCCAGCAAACACAACATCTATTCTGCAACCTTTAGATCAAGGAATTATAAAGAATTTTAAGTCATTTTACCGTAAGGAAATCATCAATCAAATCCTCTTAGATATTGAATCCGACGGAAAACCGACAACATCAATATACTTCACGCCATCAGGATGATAGATAAATCATGGAGAAAAGTAAAAAAAGAGACCATAGTGAATTGTTTTTTAAATCGGGTTTTTTTAATACTGAGGCTCAATCTCATTATACTGCAAATGAAATAATAGAACCTGAAATTCAGTGGCCTCAAATAAAAATCGCATTACAATTAGAAGATTGTATTACTTTAGAAGACTACATTCAAGTTGACAGCCAAGTATCAGTCACAGGTTTTAGTACTGATCAAGAAATTGTAAATGATATAAAAAAAGGAAGAGAAGAAGAAGATGATGATGATGATAGTGGAAGCGAGGATGATATGCAAGAAACTCCAATAACAAACTTTCAAGTTACTGAAGCTATTCGTACCATCAGACATTTTTTAGAGCGAGTTGATTATTACGAAGACGAATATTCAGCTTTGCATAAAATTGAAGTCTGCATAGATCGGAACATGCAAAAAAAATTGTGCCAAAAAAAAATGACCGATTATTTCAATTTTAATAGTACCGTAATGTTAAATTTAATTATTATTTTATTATTTTTTTATATGTTATTTTGTTGAATGAAATTCGTTATGCAAAAATAATGATACGATATTTGCTTATGAAAATCTCANGGTCGCTTACTGCAAAATTTATCAACTTGTAAGTCTATATGAGCCTCGTATTTTTTTACCATCCCCACATCATACTTGTCTTTTGCAAAAACTTGCTTATACTTATCTACTATACTTTCAATCACTTGTCTTTGCTGATAATTTAAATGATCTATCTTAATTGCAAAATCACTCTCATAAATATACTCATTAAAATTGATCAAAACTTCATTTTCATTTTTATTTTCATAATTTTCTTTGATCTTGGGACTTTCTAATACTTGCGTAATTTTTAACTTTTCATCTTGATTCAATCTAAATTCTTGAATCATATCTAATCCAAGTAAAAAATCTCGTCGCATTTCTTCTTTGTCTACTACAAATACCCTCATTACTTTTTTAATACTTCCTATTTCTATTTGAATTTTAATCATTCCGAGAGTTTCCTTCACACCATCAATCGTTTGTACCTTGAATCGCTGACTATTCTTTACTTTTTTTGCTTTTATTTTAATTAATTTGGAACTTATCAGAGAAACATTTGCTCCTGAATCATATATAGCCACGACTTCAACCGTATCATTTATTTTTAAGTTTATTGTGATTAATGGTGTGACTCTTACTTTTTTTCTTCCTCACAAAAATCATCTACTTCCAAAGCTACATTGTTTACTTATCTGTTTCTAAGCTCTTTCCCTTTATTTTCATTTTTACCATTGTACCAGCATGAATCTTCCGGGTGATATCGTCTGCCTTTATTCAATTTCAAACATACTTGACAAGCTTGTTTTGATTCTACTTTTCTTGAGTTATAACTCTCGTTGACCGTATTTACCTCTGATTCGGATGTACCTTTCTTCACTAGATATTCATATTTATTTAATTCACAGTATAAATCTTCAATTTGCTTTAAATTATCTCTCTCTATCTTATTCAAAATAAATCTTGGCAGACCCCATGAAATCAAATCAATAACTGTTCCGATGTCCATTGTTTTCCTTAATTCTAACAACAAGCGTTCTTTCTTCACCACATAATCCACAAGCGAGCCCTCAATAAATTTAAAAGACAAAGCGTACGTGACCGAATTCCAACCTTTTTTTGTGTACGTCTCCAAAAATTTTTTTCTCCACACACTCCAATTGGAACTAGCAGTTTCCTTTATCAGCATAGAACTATACCAATCTAAACTATTTTTATCTAAGAAGTATCTAAACACTTCAATAATTTTCTCATCTTCAACTATACCGAATCGGACACAATCTTCCTCGAACGAATCTAGCCATTGTACTACGTTTACGTTCTTACCCGAATACTTTTCAATATTAAATTTCTCTGATACTTTCCTCAAATTTTGGGTAGCTGATTCTTTTTGCATCAATTGCTTCACTACATCTGCTAAACTCTCTTTATTTTTAGTTTCATCTAAAGCTTCTACAAACTCTTCCAATAATGTGTCTTCGAAAATGATATTTCCACATTCATCAAAATAAGATTTCTTCAACTCTTCCGTTAACTCTACCCAAACTGAGCGTTTTTGATGTCTTTTTTATAATACACTTTTCACTCTCTCATACACCGTTGTTTTCACAAATTCTTTATGCAGTGTTGCTGGTTGCAGTTCTAGCGGTAAACTATATCTATCTCCGTGCTGCGTAGCAATTGAATTATCACACATAATATTAGTTTTTCCATCTGCCGCTCCTTTCATAATCACTTCAAATTGTAACTTTTCCATATTGACTAATTCTTGACAGAAAATTGTCGTTTTATAATGTGAAAGATGTTGGGGTTTTATTAATAAATTGATTTTGTGTTGCTCTGTAAATTGAGTAATTTTTATTAAACATAAATTAACTAAACTTATATCTTACTATTTACAAATTATACCTGTAAATTGAGAAACGACAATTATCTCAATTATTATCGTTAGTCCCAACTCTCACACTTTCAGATCTATACTGATTTCCTCATTCACACCTCATGATGTATATACTCAACTGTCAACATACATACTCACTCTCACACACACACACTTACAAACATACACTAAGAGACTCTTTCCTTATATATATTTTCTTGCATTCCTTGTTCAACTTGAATGCACTTTAGAAATTTCCAGATGGTCTCGTGGCTTTTGTGCATTTTGTAACTGAAACCACGATGCCACGCCTCGACGCCATTATTGGTACGGTTATTGTCACTTAGCACTATACAGTGGAATCTCGATAAGTCAAATCGCGATAACTCGAAAAAAAATACACATATTAGATAGGCTTTTTCTAAATCGCGATAAGTCGAATTTTTCGGTCCGACTATCGGAAACTTACAATTAGAAAATTCAAACTCAATAAGTCAATAACGTTGTATATTATTATGTACCCTTATTGTATGTTTATAAATACGCAAAACAGCGCTAAACATTAGTATATTACTGCCTGTCAACATGAACGGACCACGAAAATTAAAGTGTCTGAGTATAGGGGAAAAGTTTAATTTGATTAAGGAACTTGAAAAAGGGCAATTATCTAAAAAAGAAGTAGCAAAGAAATTTGATATAAAACCAAGTACATTATCCGGCATTCTGAAAAATAAAGAGGATGTATTAAAAGCTTTTGAGACCGAGAGCCCCAGTCGTAAACGCAAGAGAGGTGCGGAATACGATGATATTGAAGAGGCTTTGATCGTATGGTTCGAGCAAGCTCGACAGAATAACATCCCGATTTCTGGACCTATCATCCAAGAAAAGGCATTGTCATACGCAAAACTTTTCAACAATCATCAGTTTCAGGCTAGTGATGGTTGGCTTCATAATTTCAAAAAAAGACATGGAATTGCCTTCCGAAAGCTTTGCGGTGAAAGTGCTGATGTAAGCAATGATATTTGTGATGAATGGAAATCAAAGTTATCAACAATAACATCGGCGTACAAGTCCGACGAGATTTATAACGCAGATGAAACGGGTTTGTTTTTATACGTTATTCAAAAATAAACTTCTAAGACTGACATAAGATTAAATTATAATTTTTTTCATAGCTCTCTTCTTCAAATGTCTACCTGATAAAACACTGGCATTTAAAAAAGAAACTTGTCACGGTGGAAAAAATAACAAGCAGAGAATTACATTATTATTAGCAGTGAATTCGACTGGTACTGATAAATTAACACCTTTCGTTATCGGCCGATCTGCTAAGCCTAGATGTTTAAAAGGAATAAAAAATTTGCCAGTAGAATATCATGCAAATCAAAAGGCGTGGATGAATTCAATGCTTATCTCTCAGTGGTTGATAAACTTAAATAAAAAAATGAAGCTCGCCAAGCGCAATATCCTCCTGTTCATCGATAACTGCAGTGCCCATAAAATTATTCCTGAACTGAGTAATATAAAAATTCAATTTTTGCCAGCAAACACAACATTTATTCTCCAACCTTTAGATCAAGGAATTATAAAGAATTTTAAGTCATTTTACCGTAAGGAAATCATCAATCAAATCCTCTTAGATATTGAATCCGACGGAAAACCGACAACATCAATATACTTCACGCCATCAGGATGATAGATAAATCATGGAGAAAAGTAAAAAAAGAGACCATAGTGAATTGTTTTTTAAATCGGGTTTTTTTAATACTGAGGCTCAATCTCATTATACTGCAAATGAAATAATAGAACCTGAAATTCAGTGGCCTCAAATAAAAATCGCATTACAATTAGAAGATTGTATTACTTTAGAAGACTACATTCAAGTTGACAGCCAAGTATCAGTCACAGGTTTTAGTACTGATCAAGAAATTGTAAATGATATAAAAAAAGGAAGAGAAGAAGAAGATGATGATGATAGTGGAAGCGAGGATGATATGCAAGAAACTCCAATAACAAACTTTCAAGTTACTGAAGCTATTCGTACCATCAGACATTTTTTAGAGCGAGTTGATTATTACGAAGACGAATATTCAGCTTTGCATAAAATTGAAGTCTGCATAGATCGGAACATGCAAAAAAAATTGTGCCAAAAAAAAATGACCGATTATTTCAATTTTAATAGTACCGTAATGTTAAATTTAATTATTATTTTATTATTTTTTTATATGTTATTTTGTTGAATGAAATTCGTTATGCAAAAATAATGATACGATATTTGCTTATGAAAATCTCAATAACTCGAATTATTTTTTATTCTCTCGCTTTAACTCGAAATCTCGTTAAGTCGAAAATCGCGATAACTCGAAAAATAAACTGTTCCCCGAGGATTTCGACTTATCGAGATTCCACTGTATTATAATTATTCCACATAGAAACGGGAAACAGAGGCGATTTTTTCTTTCGACCGGAGACACCAATCCACGTATTTTCGAAGTAACGAATGAGCTTAGCCAATTCCTGCGAATGAGTCTGGTAAAACGAAGATTTAAGCAGTTTGGCATAAGCATAGATCACATCATCGACTGGCACGAATGCAAGAGCAATCAAGTGACGTAAATGTAATGCAAAATCTGCATCATTTTGGTAGCGTACTTGCAAACCAAATTCTTGTATGTGACGCCAAATGCATTGTGCGAAGTGGAAGAAACAACCATGAATTTCTGAATCTGGGAAGACATCAGAAAACGCGTTGATGTACGCGTTTTCGAAGTCTATAATCATACGTGTTGGATTTAATTTTCTACATGACGATACGAGAGTATCCAAAACACGTTTATATATGTCACGAGTACGATGAGTGCTGAGAATGTATACGAGCGGAATCAAAGTACCTTGATATCGACCATGTATAGTGTACAGTTGCTCAAATATACTGGGTACAACGTCGAAGGTGCCATCTCCTTGCCAGATATCGCAACGTCGAAGAATTTTTAAATTGGCTGATGTAGTGAACGTAAGAACACGTGTATTGTCTGTGGCGTAATCGTCAAGTAGAAATTGATCGCCGCGTATTGTGTTTGTAAACATAGTCGGAACATTTAAATCGAACGCCGAAGCTGGTAATGCGGGGGCATTTAAAATATGATTGCGCTGTCGCTGAATAGTGCGACAGAGGGATTTTTGAGTCGGCAATAGATACGAAGTCGTAGCATCAATATTATGCAGACGTTTGTCGATAATATTGCCCGGGTTTTCAGATGTCTTGCTAGCGTCCTTTTTTAGCTTCTCCTTCAGTTTCCTCGCCTTCAATTCAGCACTTTCAACGACATGATTGTGTTCGAAACCGTTCTCCCACAAAACTATGCCATCTTTTTCGGCAGAACTTGTGTGTACACGACAATTACACTTATCAGGGGTGGTATAAGCTGCACAACGCCAAATTACTTTGCTAGCACTGCAACTATGTTTAGTGTAAATATAATTATTATGCACAAGCATTGGCGTATTACGCTGGCTTAAAACAAATTTTAACACCATATTTAACGAGGTTAATACACAGACACACAGGACAAGACTGAGCGGCATATGTAAATAAGCCGCTCGAAGTGAGCTGAAATCACACATAATATAATGTTGATACTCACACACACATACACACTCTGGTATATAATCTGCTCGGGAGTGAGCTGAGAACACACAATATCACGTATAGTCACTCACAAATGCCAAAATCAAAGGAAACGGGAGAAAATTAATATAAAATAAAAGTATATTTTTATTGAGGATGAATAGTCGCCCAGGATGTTTTGTCGCGGTTGAATAGTCGCCCAGGTTGAATCGTCGTGGTTGAGTTGTCGCGGATGAGCTGTCGCTGGATGAATTGTCAAAGGGTGAGTTGTCCTGATCCCCTCCTCAGGCCTAGCACGTACTCTTAGCATCTCACTCAATTTTGTCTTGACTGCTCCAACTGCTATTCAAGGTTGCTCCGTCGTTTCCTGCTACTGTAACAGAAAACTTAGGCATGAACACTGGGACAGTTTAAAATTCAGCTCAATGAATTAATAAAGAAATGTGTAAAATTTGAAAATTTTCGGTTCAATATTTTAAGTTACGTTTCTCACGAAACTGAGAAATTTTCATTTCTATTAATTTCTTTTCATTTCTCTACAATTCTTCGAGATGTTACTGTCGCCGAGAAAGTTCAATTTTTCCAATAATTTTTTTGTTAAAAACAAATTTACCAAAAATAAGGTAAAAATGTAAATATCTAACAATGTGATGGTAAGCTTTCCCGTGCACAGAAAGATTTCTTCGTGACCTAGTCGACTTTGCAACGCACCAGGCGAGCGACCGCTCGCCATTGACTAGGGTTCCGACTAGCTAGATAAAAAGGGGCGACGAAAAGACTCACAAACCTCAGGGACGGGGCACGTCTCCCCTCCGAGAGAAATAGGCCAACGTGTACGGATGCGGGGTCTCCGTGATATTGCATAGCACCTCACCTAGAAATCTGAAAGATGGAAATATATACTATATACAAGGTAAACCAACAGGGCACGTACACACACTACAATTTATTCATGTAGAACGTAAATATTGCATTGTTTACGTTCTCGATGCCACAGTGAACCGAAGAGACTTTGTTGATTGTCATTATTGTAGCGCGTATTCGACATGAACTAGTCTCGGCACATGTGCCACACGGCCTTCTACTTGTCTGCCGAGTATTACCCGAAGCCGCGAGCAGGGTACACTAACACTATCAATTTTTCACGCTGCACACGACTCCACGACCCCGCTCGCTGCTTCTCGAAATCGGGTCCCTCCGCTGCGCTCGGGTGAAGCGCACTGGGTGTCGCCGAGGAGACGAGGTGCACAAGACCAACTGGGTAGTCTGTGCTTCGCCACTCAGCTAACCACGCCAGCTGCACGCTGCCAGGACAAAGTCCAGCGCGTGCGCTAGCCTACAACTACGTCACCACTCAGCTAATCCTTCACACACACCGGGTAGAATGGTGCAGCTCTTACAAGCGCACCAGGTCGACCCTTGATCAAATCAACACTCAACCCGAACACAACCACGCGAGTAAGCTCGAGCATACAACACACGCACACGGTATACTATACCAAACCCTTACTGTCATTTACTGTCGTCACTGTGGGATGAGATGTTCTCTCTTGAGCTGCTAGGACTCGAATTTCGATCAGCGCACTCGATCTCAGCGCTCTCTCGTCGCTCGTGATCGCTCGCTGCTGCTCGCCGCTGCTCGCGCCGCCGAGCTCGCAAACCGACACTCCTGACTCACCTCAACGTGATCGGCGCTCAACCACTGCGCACAAGCAGGCCCGCCTCGCGGCGCAGCTCAGCTCGTTCGCTCTCTCTCGCACTCACAGCATGCATTGCCACCGCACCCAAGTCGCAGCTGGCTCATGCATACACACACATATCAGCAAAACTCGCGCGCTTCAAGCCGCAGCGAGTTCGCACACATATACACACTATCGACGCCCGTATCGCCGGCGCGACTCAAGTCGCGGCCAGCATACGCGTTTGCATATGCACACTCACTTTACATGCTTCTTTCTGGCGCGGTAGAAGCTGCAGCCAATATCGATGAGGCCACGACGTGGCCATCGTGTCGCACATGTACACAGTCAGCCAGTCTGGTGACGAAGTCGAGCGCGAACAGTCGCTACTAATAATAAACATTTTCAATTACACTATCGATACGAGTCTATTTTTATAACCTTTAATAGGTTATGGGCCCAGTGGCTAAGGATAGTAAATTGTGAGAGAAACCTATTCTCGAAAAGGCGAGTTCAAGAGTACACACAGGACGATATACTCATAGAAAAAGAAAAAGAATCATGGCAGATGAGTCAAGGATGGCAGGGCCGAGCATTTCAAAGTTCGAAGGTGGAAATTTTCAGGTCTGGAAATTCCAGATACGGTCAGTCCTGGTGGCAAATCGCTTGTTTGGCCTGGTCAATGGGAGTAAGCCCCAACCAGGAGATACCGCAACGCAAGCGGAGAAGGACAAATGGACAGAGGACGACGCGCGAGCCATGAATTTTCTCACGTGCGTCATGACACCGACCCAGGTTGAAAATGTGCTCACGTGTGACAGCGCAAACAGATCTGGGACAAAGTGGCTATGATATATGAGCAAAAATCGGTCCAGATTAAAGGTACAATGCTACAAAAATTTTACAGCTGCAAGATGGACACCAGCGAGCCCGCAATTCATTATGTCACAAGAATCGTTCATATGGCTCGGGCGTTGAAGGACCTGGGTGAAGTCATCTCTGACGCCGCAATCATCGCCAATATGCTTGGTGGATTATCATCTAAATTCGGCAATTTTATAACGGCGTGGGACAGTATCGCCGAGGACAAGCAGACCTTGCAATTTTTCCAGGAGCTTCTGATAAAGGAGGAAAACAAACTTCAAGGACATGACGATGAATTTCGAGCGATGGCTGCCGTTCGAGGTGCGAGATCGAATTTTCAAAATTCATACAGTTGCACACCAAAACAAAGCAACAAAGTTCGACAACACTGGCTGTCTGTTACTATTGTAAGAAGCCCGGACCATTAAGAAAAAATTGTCGCCGCAAGCAACAAGATAAACGACAAAAACAAAGCTCGCGCGGAAACTCTTTCGGTAACGACAACAATAGAGTCGACTACGATCA